TTGTTCTGTGTTCACAATTGTTCATAATACCCAGTTTTGACAAGTTACCCAACACCACTGTTTGAAATGTAGCCCCAAACAATGATAGATCCTCCACTATGTTTTATAGATGGCTGTAGGCACTCACTGTTGTACCTGCTTCTTGACTCCATGTATACATCTCTTTATACATTTTAACAATGCCTTGTTGCAATGTCTGCTTCTTGTGCAATAATGCACACCTCTTACTTAAAAATTGCTTCTTCCACTGAGATGGTTTCTGATGAGGCTTTATTGAACAGTACATGGATAAACTGAGGGGCCAGATGAATCTCTTACATGCTGTTAATCTGCTGTAGTCTGCCACTTCTTCTTTGGATTATCTCTTGTTTGCTTGGCATATCTCGGACTGCCAAGCATTGCCTAACGATACAATTTCAAACTAGTTGTTTTTTACACTTGAGTGATTCATAGTTCAGTGTTTATGGCCTTAACATACAAGAAAGGAAGAAAAAAACATTCTTCTGAAAATTGTCTGCTACAAGAAAAGGACTGAAAATAAGTGAAAAGCAGCCAATATCCAAATAGACATTTTGTAAGACCTTTAGAAAGCCTGGAAAACTGTTGATCAGGAACACTTTAAGAAGTTACTCTTCCTCCCGAGAAGAACGGATCAACATCTTTGCACAATACTGTACTTATTGTGGGTTCTCAGTCATCCAGGTCATGGTAGAAGCTTGGAGGAAAAAGTACTGTACTTGTTCAATCACAAATGGTAGCTTGAGCAGCATTGCTCATGCATACACAGATTCATGCTTCAAATTTTTTTTTTTTAAGATTTATTCCCACATTGGCCTTTTTTAAAATATATTTTTTTCATGGTAAATGTTCAGCTCCTGCTCACCAGCTCGTTGCTGTGGTGCTAAGTATGTACTGCAGAGTGGCGTTTAAAGGAAAAAACAATAAAGAATAAAACAATAAAGAATTTTTGCTGTGTCTTGATAAGAGGCAAGAGAGCGGTGAATCAGAACGGTAACGTTGCATTTCAGAAAATTAGAACAACAAGCTTGTAGCTCAGAAGGAAATCTTTGTAGGTTTAAGAATTCAAACAACCCTGCTGCTTTGATTCACTGTTAATAGAATAATATTGGCTTACAGCACCTTTAAATTAATTTTCAATTAATTAGAACCAAAATATTTTCACAACTTAAAGGTATTTCTTCACTATTATTTGTTTGTTTGTTTGAGTTCTTCATGTGGTGTCTTTGTTTAACCACGAATCATATATTATCCATGTAGCCACAGATTTAGGGATAAGTACTGTCCAAAAGCGGGATGCTGGTGTAAAAGAGTCTCTCAGGACTTTGCAGTTTTTTCCAGATGGTTTCCTCCAGCAGTGACGACTTCAGGCAGATTGCTTCTTTCTTTGGCTCTGTCTTACGCACACATGCGCCCACACACACTCACACACAAATATATACTCTGCATATGTAACTAGCAGGTCACTCAATTCAGCTCCAGTCTCCTTTTTTTTTTTTTTTTTGCTGGTGCAGCTGCTGCATCTCCTCCTTCAGCTCTGTCAACAGTGGCTTCGTGACTAGCTTGTGATTAGTTTTCTCCTTTGACTCAACACAAAATAAACACAACAGATGATAACTCAAGTATAAAAGAGGTTTCACTGCTTTGTTTAGGGATTCCAAGCCATTAGCAGTCTTCCGTGTGGGAGTGGACGAGAATTGAACGTGTAGCTTTTGAGCTTTTGTTTAGCCAAAAGTGCTTTTTTGCTCGACACTTTGGTTGTACTAGAACCCTTCATGCTCTTCTTTACCTACTATTACAGCTGACACCACATTTAGTCCCTGTTGTTTCAATATTAGCCTTAAAGTGGACTACTACACTTTTTCTCTGGTAGTGTGTTGCAGTGGTAGAGTCTAAATAAAATGGACAAAGTTTCGAATAATGAAGTTAGTTTATGTGCAGTTTATGTGCAAGTTATCCCTATAAAGACTTTGAACTATCCTAAATGAACAGTTTCGAACAATCGTTTGTACTCTTGGTTGTGTATGTCACTGAGATTATATCCCTGATGTGGTTATCCCTGGCACATGGCTCTGGCTGTGGGAAAATCAGCCTATTTGTAAAGCCTCTGTTTACAAGGACCAGCCAGCAGTGAACTGGCTATGTGGGCACTAGGTTAAACAGGTTGTTGCCGACAGCGGGTGGACTCAGGTCCAGTGTAGGATGAACTGTGAAGAAAGAAAAGCTACTCCCCTTTTTTCACATTTAACAAAGTAAACATCAGTGACACAATTCAATGCAGTGTGCCATCACCAAGATATTTTTTTTAACCCACTGCATCTTTGGCATTAGAAAAAGCTGCCGATTTCAAACAGTCTCCACTCACTTGTTTTTGAACTCTCATTTTTAGATAAACTTTGCTGTCACAAAAGTGTTTTTTTTCCCCCTATTCTGAGTTTTTTTTTTTTTTATTACTTGTATTCATGCTGGCTGGAAAAAGGTGTTTTAGTATGGACAAAAGACACAACCCTTTAACAGAAAAACTAAAAACACTGCAGCTCCATGGTAACCACCTAAACTTTATCTGCTGATAAAAGCTCCATAGCGAGCGAATAAGTGGATCTTGAGTGCAGCTTGGTTTGTCACCTGTTTCCACAGTCGCTCCCTGTTGTCTAATGTGTTGTTCTCTGTGTTTTCCCTTTCAATAACTGCTCCAGTTAGACAGTCAAAGCTTTAAAAAAAAAAATATATTCTTGTTGGTGAAAATGGTTATATATATAAAATAGTTATATATGTGCGTGTGTGGCTCTAGTTTTAGTCACTTTATCCTGAGCAACTCTAATTGAATTCTACTTAGGCTTAGCACAAATAAATCTATTTATAAGTGGCTCTTCCTCCCCTTTGCTGATATTAGGTGGGAACAACAAACAAGTGTGCTCTTTCTAAAACTGTGTAGTCAAATAATGAAATATTTTGATTTCCACTATGAAAATTTTATGGCTTGTGTGATGAAAAGAAAGTTACTAAACCAACCCATTCTGGCTGGCTGTGATGAAACTGTCCTCTTCTTGTTGTTGCTCCCAGCTCTCTGGCCCTCTGCCTAATCATTGTGTGATTATGGTTGTGTGCGCGCAAGTGTTTGTTTCTGAGAGAGGAAAAGAGAGACTGTGTCGCAGCTCACTGGATGATTGAGAGCAGCAATTAGAGACTTAATTAGTGGCTATCACAAACGCGTGCGCATGCACAAACACACACACACACACACACACACACACACACACACACACACACCAGATACACAAACACTGATGCCAATGTACACACACATTCATACAGCTGCGCATGCACAGCCACACACATGCACACACATAATAATACTGTACACACTTTTCTCTGTGTGCGTGCCTGTGTTTACTAGATAGCATAATATGATTCCATCCACGTTTTAAGTGTTTAATTGGCTTTTAAATCCTACTATGTAATTATATGGCTGTGACACACACTTACAAACTCATAGACATACGCACACACAAATGCAACATGCGCACACATACACACATGCAGTACAGCTGTTCATTAGCATGATGGCTTTACTTCTGTCTTGGCTCTAATCACGGCATGTTTACATTTTAAATGAGCGGAAATGCTGCATTGCCACAACTGCGCACACATACACTCAGGCCCACCCGTACACAAACACCTTCCAAACACTCACATACTCCGTTTAAGTTTGAACTTACTTTAATCATATTGTGTTTACATTTCAAATGAGAAAGGATTGCAGCATTACAGCAGACACACAAACACACATTCAGTTTTTCCCTCTTCTGTTTTCGTTTTGCATAAGCAAATACACAGACACACTTCTCATTAGGGTTGCAGCAGTTTGAATAGCCATAGAGTCTCTTTTTTTTTTACTGTATTTTAATTATTGATTAGTTTGAGATTTCACTAGCTGTAATTTAATTAAAGAGGGGCAGACATAAACTCCTTTGCTTTGAATAGAGCTTTAGCGTGTGCATTTGTGTCTTACTGTCAGACTTTGCCAAAGACAGAATGTCCATCAGGTTTGGCGTGTTCATCTGTTTGGCTGTGGTACATCTCTGTATATATGAAGAGGATTTCTGTGTGCACTTCTCAAACTGTCCCTAGCATCCACTTCTGTCACACCAGTCCTCTGCATGTCCTCCTTCACTCCTATGTGGTCGTCCTCTTTTCCTCTGGCCTGGCAGCACAGCATTCAGCAACCTTTGTCCAATACATCCACTATCCCTCCTCTGCACATGTCCAAACCATCTCAGCCATGCCTCTCTAACATTATCTCCAAACTGCTCAGTCTGAGTTGTCCCTCTGATAATTCTACCTATAATAATGCTGTGGACTGAACAGGCAAGATAATACTTGAAAACACAGTGTTTCCATCATTAGATTAAAGTCATACAGGTTTAGAAAATTCAATCTGTGGATGATGAATTTAGTATTTTGTGCAGTTTCTGTCCACTACTTTAGTGATGGCTGAAATTTCTCAGCAGCTAATGGATTGCCATGAAATTTGTGCTGAATCATTTGCTGAATGTTAGAGTGTCCACTATCCGTTTTGTAAATTAACAGTTTGCGTGGTGTGAACATTTTCAGAATGTAGTTTTACTTCTTTGCACTAAATAGTAGGGCTGTGCGATATGACCCAAATCTCATATCCCGATATAAGAATTCTATCGTCCCAATAACGATATAAATCACAAAAATGCAACATTTTCTGTCATTTCTGTGAATCTCGGGCAGCTCGACTTGCAGGAAGTGTTTCCAGCTGCGCGTCATGTAGCTGGAGTCGAGTGTTTTAACCGATGCATGAAACTACACATTTTTAGACATAAGTTGTAACGGCTGCCGTTTTCTTTGTGAGTATTTATTACACGGCGTGCTGCGGGGAAAAGCCTGTTCTAACGTTTGAGTCTAAGGTTTATTTTTTAGCACCCGGCCGCTCTTTTTTACTTCTCATCTGTAAATAACCTGCTCTTTCACGTGATTATGTTTATTTTGAAAAGTCTCAACAGGATCTTGAGTAGTGATGTGCGGATCGATCCTGAAATATCGATTCCTCCGATACCAATCATTTATGGTCTAGAATCGATTCTCACATTAAAATATCGATATTTTAGTAATATCATTCGGATTGTCTACATTCAAAGGAACTACTTCCTCTTCCGCCTTTCATAGTCATGTGCGAAATACGGCTGTATAAATGTCTCGCAGCCCCTTGGCGTGCACACGCACAACAATGGCTGAGCCTAATTGGAGTCATGTGAGGACTTATTTTACCTCCACAAACAGCTGAGACGTGGTTTGTGATACATGTGGCAAAAAAGTGCTCCAAGAGTGAGGTGTTGTGGCCATACTAGGGCTGTTGGGGGGGAATACATTTTACAGTGTTTATTTATCGGATAAAATACGTTAAATGTTTGGCCGACCCGGAAACAGCGGGGGTGTCCAAATTCAGAGGCCGCTTCCACCTGAGGACCCGGCCTTCGCGGTCTAAAGAAAGCCGGGTAGTACGTCACGAGCTCCCTCGGTGGAGTGAAACTCTGCCGTCTGCTCCTTGCTATCTAAAATATAACCGGGCGCTGGCGTAAACACTCAATCGTCTCACACTTCTGTTTAATCATTTTCTGTTTGACGTTTATTCAGCTGTATGAAAACCCCAGAGGAACCCTCCCGAGGGATTAATAAAGTTAAATTTAATTTAATCGAATCTAATAACTTTAATCTCAGCCAAACCGATTTACTCACGAACAAATAAAACACTGAAAAAGCCAAACAATAACATTTTTAAGTTATCAAAGTGACTTATATATCATGTTTAACCCGAGTAGCGAAAGACCGCGGGGGTTTGAAGACGATATTTGAAGTTTACACAGCTACATTCTCACCTGAAAATATGTTAAAAGTTTTTTTGCGACCCAGAAAGAGAAATAAGAGTAATATTAAAACCAAGTAGCTGCCGCCATTGTTGGAAACTGGAATTGGCTGGGCCACGCTATGAATTCTGCGATATGGTTTTTCAATTTTGTTGTCCGGGTGGAAAATCGGGAAAAATTCGGGAGAATGGTGGCTCCGGGAGATTTTCGGGAGGGGCACTGAAATTCGGTATTCTCCCGGAAAAATCGGGAGGGTTGGCATGTATGGTTGTGGCAACATCACTAACCTTGTCAAACACCTCAGAGTAAATCATATCACAGAATATGACGAGCGTATGTTGAGACGAACTGAAGAGGAGGACAGGGACAGGTGCTGCTAGGGCGAGACAGACGTCTCTCACAGAGTCCTTTAGTGCTGCAGGCAGGCAAGGTGTTCAAATAGCACAACTTCAGTTTTTTTTTAATTTCTATATGATGAACTCTGCATTATTAAGTGATAAGAACAAGTAATCTGATGTCCTGTAATCATTATGACGCTATAATTTGAGATACAATAAATAAAATACGTTTTTGTACAAAGTATCAGTATTGTCGATACCACCCTGAATGTTACTTGGTATCGGATCAGAACGGAAATCAGTGGTATCGCACATCACTAATCTTGAGCTTTATTGCGAAAGGTTTATGTGGAACATAAACAAGCGGAAACGCGATGCTGTTACCGTCGTTGTTGCTAACCACAACGCATAAAAACAGGCGCTTGTCCGTCCGTAGTGTGGTTATATAAAATATAAGAGAAAGAGAGAACTTTAAGAAATGAATATAGCCACTACAGTGACCATCAAAACGATGAAAAAATATTGCCGTAAGCAGTTTATTTTGCGACACCACGAAACAAACGATAGCATAAAATGAAACGATAGACGTTTTTATATCGTCATCCGGTATATATCGTTATATCGAACAGCCCTACTAAATAGGACATTTTTTTCATGTTTTTAACCATCTTTATGGAGTTATTTTGCTTACACAGTTGGGCTGTATATTGCCTATACACTAAAAGGAGATTGACCCTCTTGGCTGTTTGTCTTGTATATAACAGACTAACTACTGAAAATTGTCAAAGAAGCTGATCATGGTGACAAACGCACAAAGAACTGACAGAGAAATCTTTAGCTCTGATAAATAGATTAGACTCTCCCTTTCATGCACCAAGCTCTGGTGTGTTAATGTTGTTTTTAAACTAAATTTGATCATCTAACAACTGAAAATACCCAGATTATTTTCCCAGGAGAGAGTAAAAAATAAAACTGAGCTAAAATATAAAGTGAATATGTCATTACAGGAATTGCTGGCCAGTGTATAAACTGATTTCATAAGATGATTACGTGTCAGTGGTGTGTTTCAAAGCTTGTTTTGAAGTTTTTCTGCTCTTGGCTGCTGAAAGGTTTGTTAGCGAAGCTAAGCAGAACTGTTAAGGTGGCTAAAATAAAAACATCCGAACTTGATAATACCTATATATTTAAAATATAAAAGTTCATTATTAACCCTGAGGAAATTTCAGTGAATCTGAAATGCTTGTAAAACTGTGACTGCATGAATTGAGTCTGTCCACCTGCCGTGTTCTAGATTCAGACTACTTTCACGTTGTGTCTTTGTCTCCAGACCTCGAATCAAAGGCTGCTGAGTTGAATCAGTCTCTTTCACGGAGAGGTGGAACTCCAGAAAAAAGCCTGAGCGAGATGAAGGAGGAGATCCAGGCTATGCTGCATGAGATGAGGCAACGACAGCTGGGAAGGAAGAAAGTTATTGCAGAGGAGGAAAACAAGTATGGAAACACATGAACACATATGTACAGAGGTCATGTTTTTCTATCTCACTCACACACACACACACACACACACACACACACACACACACACACACACACACACACACACACACACACAAAAGGAAAACTAAGTAAACAGACCAGCCATTGTTTTAGACATATGCAACGGAGTGTGTGCAAACCATAAGGTGGTAATATACAGAGATAAAACATGCTAACAGTCATGTCTGAGTACAAGAGAAAAAGTGAGCATCCATGCTATGGGCACTTTTTGAGGATGCTTGATGTTTCTCTTTCTCGCTGTCTTCATTATTTTTATTTTATTTTTTGTAAAATTTGTAGATTCAAATCACAACTGTTATCTCTAGGTGCTTTATAGTGGAAAGAAAAAAACCTAGTGTAAATCACATCAACCAGACAAATAAATCTATGATCAAGCATTGGGTGATGGTGGGAAGGAAAAACTGCCTTTTATCAGGAAGAAACCTCCAGCAGAAGCAGATTCAGATAAAAGCAACCACCTGCTGTGACATGTTTGGGGGGGGGGGGGGTGAAGCGAAATGAAGAAAGGAGAACAGGGGGAGACAAGACGAAAAAGTCCATGTGGGAGAGAGAAGACACAACAGTGCCATGTAAACACACAAAGAATAAATTGAGGTGAGTGGAGATGAAGTGCTCAGTACATCACAAGTCCTGCAGCAGCCTGGACCTATATCAGCATAACCAAGGGATGCTGAGGGTCATGTGATAAAGCCAAAAGTTTAAGCTTCATCAAAAGGCCAAAGTTTAAAGTCTAATCTTAAGTCTGTCTACCAAATTCAAACCGGGAGCTAGCTCCACAGGAGAGGGGCCTGATAGCCGAAGCCTCAGTCTCCCATTCTGCTTTTAAATACAATATGAACCACAAAATGCTCTATTAAGATAATATAGTACTACTGGCTCTTTAAGATATGAGGAGGCCTGATTGAGGAAGATATGAGCGGACTTTCTACAGTAAATGGGATGGTTCTTTTATAGCACTTTTACTCTACTTGAGCACTCAAAGCGCTTTATACAACATTATACATCACCCATTCATTCAAACACTTTTTTCTGTGCTTAAGCGCTTTCTGTCTAACATTCAAACACATTCACACTCAGATGGAAGCATTGGAGAGCAACTTGGGGTTAGTATCTCGCACAAGGATATTTGGCATGCAGACTGGAGCAGCCAGGGATCAAACCACCAACTTTCTGATTAGTAGATGACCTGCTCTACCACCTGAGCTACAGCCACCCCGAAAATGTGAGGAGAATGATTTTAATTCAATTGTTGATTTAACCGGAAGCCAAAGAGAGATGCCACCATCTGGGAAATATTATCTTGCTGCAGCATTTTGGATCAACTGAAGGGTTTTCTGAACAATCTGGTAATATTGGATTATAATAGTACAGCTTGAATATTCTGAATGCTTATTTAATTCACAAACTCGCTTTTCAGCATCAATTTGAAACATGATGTTTCTAAATTTAGTGATAATAAAGAGATAAAAGAATGCAGATGAAAGAAATCAACACATTTGTTTGATGTGACTCCAGGATTCCACCTACCAGTTATTTTGCTCTCACTTGTTCAAGACTTTGCATTTACTTTGAGCTGTTTTTACTCATGAAATTGTGAGTGGTGCCAGGACATTGTTCCAATGTGTACAAAACACTCTGCTTCAGAGATTTTCTCTCACTTGTAAATACTCGGTTTGATTTTAGCAAGGTTGCTGCCTGGGTAGAGTGTGCAGAAGGCAGGAAGTAAGAAACACATTCGCTTTTTGCAAAATCACCTTTTGTATTGTCACAAAGTGGACATTTCTACTTATGGTTTGCGGTAAATTAGTTTGAAAAAAATTAAACTTGTGTGTAATTACTTTGTAAATGCACTATGTTTGTTTCTGGCCATTTAAATAAAGAAAATTCTGCCGCGTGTATTGATAAAGTAAACTGCAAATGATGTCAGACTTGATATTTTCAAGAGTTAGAAACTAGTTTCATTTAGATTCTATTTGTTTATGGAACTTTCCGTGAATGCCGGGAATAAAAGAAAATCACCTTCATTTGTAAAACAACACTGCACTGAGTATTTGGAAAATTGTTAGGTAATATGTAGAGGTTAAATTAAGCAAACCCATCATTCCTTTGTGATTGATTTCTTTCTTTTTTTGGACATTGGGTATCAGATGTAAACCACTCCCACTTACAGAGATATGATTGCTATGTGTCCTAAAGCCCTGTTGATGTTTCCCCCTTTGCGTTCCCACACTTTCTGTCTCTCTCAATGCATTTGATGGAATTAGTAATCTGTTCCCGTCTTCCCTCCTTTGCTCCCTCTCTTTGTCTGTCTCTTTGAGCAGTAAATGTTGACAAGGTCGATGAGTTAATTAAAAGTATCACCGCGGGGGCAGAAGCGGAGAAAGACACAGCCATACAAAGAACAGGTAGTGAGAAGAAAAGTCACAGAGGGACAGGGGAACAGCTAACAGATGGACAGCGAGTTGTGATGGCATAACATATGAGGAAAAACAGAGACAAAGAGAAGTTGCCACTGCTATTCAGTGACTTGCCTGTCAGTTCACAGTGCATTATTTCACTGAACCCTGAGGGGAGCAAAGAAAACGCTAGCAAAAAACAAGTGCTAAAATGAGCAAAGCTGGCACAATTATGCATACTGTTTATATTTCATCTAGATATGCCAGAGTTCAAAAACTTTGCAGTGTGCTGCAAATGTTACTTTCATTCACATGCAGCATTAGTATATAATGATGTTGTAATAATTAATTGTTAGATGCGCCCGTTATATTTTTTTAACTTTGACTTTCTCTTGCTATTCTCCACAGGGTTCATTAAATTGTCATCAGATCAAATCATTACCTTCCATATGTCCCTAAAATTATATGAAATTGTCCTCTGAGTACTCTTAACTGGAGGACACTAGATCCTTGTAGTCCTTTTTAATGCTGAAGGTGAAAA